ATTCGTTGTTAAAATAAACAAGTGGAGGAAGTTGATAAAAAGTAATCTGTAAACCGACACAATTAATATTATTGCGGTTTAAGAAAGGAAGCGCTGCTACCTATAAATACGCCGTAATCAACGAACTTAATTCAAACGTGTACTGATAACCCAGAAGATAAACTGTGCACTGCATCAAAGAATTATTATTCGAATAAATACATAGTTATTGCGACCGTGAGTGATTGTGATAGTGGAATTAAGTAAGTTTTATTTTCTTTTATTTTATACGTGTTTCACTGCCCATTTTCAGTTCTTTACATAATTTAACATTAAGTTGTATTTTTTGTTTTTATTTTAGAATGGATTTAAATCAAATTAATTCTATTACAAACCTTCACAGGAAGGACACGATATAACTACGTGACCTACCAGTCAACATGGCCATACCAATTTTGTCTATGAAAATAATAAAAACCCAGTTTGGTAAAGCTGCATTAGCTGAATTACCAGAGAAATTGGTATTTTTACCGAAAAGGGCAGGGTGCAGGCAGTGTGGTGGAGGAAAATATTGACAACTTCAAAGGAGGGAAGTATTCGATCATTTACCGAGGACAAGTCGAATGCAACAAGCCGAACCCTGCAGCAAGTTTTGATATCATTGAAACTAAGGTAGAATAGTGGAGATATTAGTTGTAAGGTCCTAAGATAGAGTGGTTCATCATGAATGACGATATATCTAACACGAGTAATAAAATTGTTGAAATTTTTCGTAAAGCAACTATCGTTTAATTCAAGTAGATAAAGATAAATGTTGTTTGAAAGAGAACTTCATAGGCATTGATGTGAGTTTCAATTTATTAAAATTAATTTATGCTGAAAATTGTGAAATTAATACATGAAAGAAATTAACGTTTTTTATTTATTAACAATGGTATGGTTTACTGACAATTATTATCTAATCTAAGGTAACACTTAATTTTTAATCATGCGTATGGTCTCCTCTTACCCTAATAACTTCTCTCATACGATCAGGCATGGATCTAACCAAGTTTGATATTGTTTCTTGTGGGATGTTAAGCCCATGATATGAAGGATAGTTAAAAAAAAATGGTTACCTACGTTCAAAAGTTTAAAGTGGGGGGATTTCTATGCACGCAAGGCAAACCCTGCCTGACTTGTTTGATGATGTTGAGAACATTTCGATAAAGGAATGTAAAACAGCATGCTTTGACATTTTATCCTGTATCTCCGTTAATAATTGAGATAGAGACATAAACCAAAAACGAAAATGCTCAGAAAATGTAGCTCTACATTCTGATTTCAACATATACCTACTAGTGTAGCTTGGGAAGTCCACAGGGCGAGACAAAAATTAGGTACTAAACAGTATTCTTTTGACACACCCTGTATACAGTATCAAGCAATTTAAGAATAAAACATTTCGTCTCCACCATATTCCTGAAGGTTCAGGCTACAATTTAAAAAAAATTGGTCAAAATCCATCAAGCGGTTTTCGACAAAACTGACTTTGAAGTTATACCAAATTTGAGGGGGGCCGTTTTTTGTGCACGCGAGTGTATTTAAAAATCATGAAATTCTCTTAAAGTGATTACGATATTCTGTGCCGAATTTGTTATCAAAAAGCAAGATGATGAGAGTACGGAAATCAAATATTTCCATACTAAAAACTCAGTAATAGATCGTGGTACCAATTTATTCGATTGGTTTCAACAGAATGTCGTAGACAGGCTTCAAAATAAACTAGAAGAATTCGCTGAGAGGGGAAGCGGGGGGTGTTTTAAACAAAATTATCGGGTTAAAAGTTAATGTCAACAAGTACGAAATGGGTCTTGGTGCGTCGTCCTACATTACCCTGCCTCAACAAATTACTGAAAAGAAAGCAGTAATTAACATAAAAAATAATCATTATTGCTTCGCATGGAGTATAGTCGCTGCATTGCATCCAGTTGAAAAGAATCCCCAGAGGGTTTCCAAGTATCCGCATTATTCTACAGTTTTAGATTTATCAGGTCTAGAGTTTCCCTTAAAATTAAAGCATATAAACGTTTTCGAATCAAATAATAACATTTCTGTAAACGTTTTTGGTTTAGAAATGACCAAAAAATCAAATTATACTGTAGTGCCATTACGTTTAACTAAAAGTAAACTCGATAAACATGTGAATTATTTACTGCTAATTCAAAATATATACTCACCGATTGACGATGAAAATGATGTTCAAGGCGATGTTGAAATCCTTTATCCTTATTGTTTAATTAAAAATCTTTCACGGTTAGTATCTGGTCAGTTAAGTCAACATAAGAGAAAAACGTTTATTTGCGATATATGTCTAAATTATTTTTCATCTGACGAAGTGCTACAAGAGCACGTTATCCGTTGCAGACAACATAATGATTGCAAAATTTCCTTCTCTAGTGAAAAATTTATCTATTTTAAAAATTTTGTAAACAAAGAACCTTTGCCGTTCATAATATATGTAGATTTCGAATCTCTTTTAGAACCCTTTAATGAGAAACAGGATTTAACCAAGAAAACTTCTCGCTATCAAAAACATGTAGCATACAGTGTAGGTTATTACTTTAAATGCAGATATGACAACAGTATATCATATTATAGTAGTTATACAGGGCTAGATTGTATACAGTGGTCACAGTTTGTTAATTCCATTCTGACAAACGTTCAGCCTATGAATGTTGAGATAGATATTAGGGATGACCAAATTGTCACATTTGTGAAAAAGTTTTCAATCCTAAAGATAAGATTGTGAGAGACCATGATCATATAACAGGATATTTTCGGGGTTTTGCACACTCTGATTGTAATTTAAATTACAAAAATTCGTTTGTGGTACCTGTTATCTTCCACAATCTTAGCGGATATGATGCTCATTTCCTCATCAGAGAATTAGTCAAGCGGTCCAGGATAACTGTGCTACCTGTCAATAAAGAAAAATATATTTCTTTCACAAAATACTGTGAGGAAACTAATGTAAAACTTCGTTTTGTGGACTCCTATCGCTTTATGGGTTTCTCATTGGATGCTTTATCCTCCATTTTGATTGAAGAGGATTTTGTAAATTTAAGAAATGAATTTCATGATTTAGAATATACAAAATTTAAGCTGCTTTTAAGAAAGAGAGTCTTTTGCTATGACTATGTTGATAATATGAATAAACTGCAGGAAACACAGTTACCCCGGCAGGAAGACGGCAGATTTATACTTAAAAACAGATGTCATGCTGTTGACTGATATTTTCGAACAATTTCGTGCAACTTGTCACGAGACTTACGGACTGGACCCTGCTCATTATTACACACTCCCAGGTTATACTTGGGATGCAATGTTGAAACATACAAAATGTTCTTTAGAGACCATACAAGATGTTCATATTTTGTTATTCTTTGAATTTGGAGTAAGAGGCGGTTTGAGTCAATGTAGCAACAGATATTCCATTGCCAATAATAAATATGTACCTGGTTACAATTCAGAAGCGCCATCAAAGTATCTTATGTACTTTGATGTGAATAATCTTTACGGTTAGGCTATGAGTCAATATTTACCGTTTGGTGGATTCGAATGGTTAAAAGATTTGGAAGATTTTAATGTTTTTAATGTTGCAGATAATTCAGACATCGGTTATATTTTAGAAGTTGATTTATATTATCCTGAACACCTACATGACTTACATCGTGATTTACCGTTTTGCCCCGAGCATCGCAAACCTCCAAATTCAAAATTACCTAAATTAATGGCAACGCTGTATTCTAAACAAAATTACATTATCCATTACAGGTATTTAAAACAGTGCCTTAAACACGGTGTTGTGTTAGAGAAAATTCATAAGATTTTAAAATTTAATCAGTCTGCCTAGCTCGAACCTTATGTTACCTTAAATTCCAATCTTAGGGCACAAGCAGATAGCGAATTTGGTAAGACAACTTATAAGATGTGTGTGAACGCGATATATGGGAAGAGGATGCAGAATATCCGAAAACATCGAATCATTAAATTATTAAACACCTGGGCAGGTCGGTATTGTGCGAAAAACTTAATATCTAGACCAACACATTTAGTCTTTAACAATCCTCTTTATATAGGTATGCAAAGTTTAGACATTTCCAAAACCTGCGTATACGAATTCCATTACGATTAAATATATATATAATATATATGTTAAATAAATTTGGTATAGATGCATGTAAATTATTGTATACTGACACTGACAGCTTAACTTATGAAATTAAATATGAAGACGCTTATCAGGAGGTAATCGTTAATGAGATAGCACGGTTCGACACTAGCGACTACGCTCCTGATAATCCATATTATTTACAACGCGTTAATAAAAAAGTAATTGGGTTAATGAAGGATGAAAATGCAGGTAGACCAATGACGCATTTTATTGGACTTCAGTCAAAACAATATACATTTCAGGTGCAAAAGACAGATCGTGAAACAAAATGCTTTAAGAAAGCAAAGGGAATCAAGTCAAACGTTGTAAAAAACAAGATTACTTTTGATGACTACCTAGATTGTTTGAAAACTAAAGTTTCTAAATATGAAACCCAAAAAACAATAGTACCTATCTAAAGCTCACACACTATACTCGATGAAACAAATCAAAATTGTTTTAAATTCGCATGACGATAAACGTTATCTCTTGCAAGACGCGTCACATACCACTCTACCTTGGGGCCATTATTCCATAGTTGCTGTTGATGATTAGTATCTTATTAACCTTGTAAAAATATAATCGAACAAATATTCTGTACATGTGTAAGTATGTTTTATTCAGTATACAAATATAAGGTCTACTGATAAACACACATCCTGTTACACAGGAAGCTTGTGTGGTCGGTATTAGATACTGACGCATGTATTTTCGAATAACAATGCTTTGACGTAATGTACAGGGTATAATAAATCAATTAATACTATACATATAAGAGTGTGTGTATTTTTTATCCATTTAACCGCAATCCTCCTTTGTGATACAAGTTGAAATAGCTCAATGGGAGAGCGACAGACTGAAAATATGGTTCAATCCCAAGTTTCAACAACTTTTTATCCACCTTGTACTATCTAAATTTAAATTTGGCGCGACATACGAACCGTGCTGTCAACTTCTTGTACCTGAAGAACTTATGTCACACAAATCACCATCCTTCTCCACCTTCAACAGCCACAGGTCATTACCGTCAACTTCTTGTACCTGAAGAACTTACGTCATTCCACAACAGAAGGCGTTAGTATCAATTCATGTTAACCGAGACAAAGAGTTTGAGTACCAAGGCCCTGGATTCAATTCCCAGTTTCAACATTTTTTCTGCTACGCCACTGCTTATTCAAAGGGGTCATAATATAAAAATTCAACATAATAAATTAAATAAATAAATATACCGACGTCTATGATATAAATTTCCATTTAATGAATACATACACACACTCTCTTATCTTTGCAATAGGATGCGGTTTTGTTAATCTGGTTATCGCAAGCACTAATAAATATTATTTTAAACTTACATTCTACATATCGATACAAAACTGAACCTTCACTCCAACAGCCGTTATTGCGAACGGAAATTGGTCAGAGAAATCAGGAACCTTTGAAAACTAACCTAGTTTTTACCAACCAATTTTGCCTAGTGTGAGTGATCTCTCACCCGATATTTGTGCCGACAATTGTAATGTCAATATACCCAATAGTGTTGTAAACATAAAACGAACCGTTGTTGGTGATAGGTGATAGGTATAGTAATAGTCACAATCAGACGAGCGACAATGGTATTTGTAGTCGTAGTGGTAATTGTTTTTCTCCACAGGTTGTCGATAGGAGTGTAGTACCAAATGAGGTCAAACGAGCATATCCAAAAAGGTCTAGGAAACCCCCCAAACCGCTTAAGCGATTACGAGGTAGTGATTGCAAAACTAATAAATCCTAAAATTCCAAAATTTGGCTTATTATTATCCTCGTATCTATTATTGGTAACATAAGGTTGAATACCTACTTAATAATTTAACTACAGATTGCTTAACTAATGTTACCACACTCTCAGGATGAGAGATTTAGTCTAAATGAAGTACATGTCCTTGTGTTTTTAAGCATATTGTATCAACAGCGGTCCAGTATGTTTGTGCTCCACCATCAATGTTGATTCAGATTGGTGTTCTGTCTTGACCTTTGGTACGGACGCTAGTGTTCTAGGACAGCCTTATCTTGAGGACAAGCATTTCGGAGATGGCTGTTCGATCCACACTCATAACAGGAACCTTTAGGTCTATGGGATTTCTTGCATTCGCTGATTAGGTGACTTAATCGATTGAAGTTGTTCTACTCGTACTAATTTAATTGATTTCTCCCCCTTCTTAAAGTCGGGCTTGCTTTCTATGTCTCGTCTATCCCTAATGTTTATATTATGACTTGAAACAGTTCATCTTCGTCTTGATGTTCCTTGGATAAGAGGAGATTACTGAGCTCTTTCGACCATAAACCAATAATAATTTGCTCGTCAAGGTGTTCGTCGTCACAACTCATCTTAATGATTATCTTGAAAATATTCAGTAATTCATAACACAAATAACTTCAGCCCTTTACTCTGCACCTGAGATTGTAGGATGACCTTATTTAATAAAAATAATGGGAGTTTCTTAACAAAATACAACTTTTATTTCTTAACTTCTCGAACATGTGTTGACGTGAAATTGTTGGCGGTGGTGTTAATGATTCTCGAACACGACATGGCATCTTTTGACATCCTTGACATAATTCTAATATCTGACATCTGACAGTTCACATTAGTAATGGGTCGTTATTGCGAGAATGTTATTTAATGCGGTATTCAAAAATAGCGTAGCGAACTGCTCGTCGTTTCCGAATAACGCGTTCTTAAATAATGTAACTACGGACAGGTAGGCTGGCAGATCTGTCAGACAGATTCAGGCCAATATGCCTGATCTGTTCTTCTCGACCACTAGTTGAACACGATGTTTGTTATTGAGTTCTCCGCTCCAACGGAAACTAATATTATTAGAGAAGAGGAGGAAAGCACAGGAAATATCGAGAACTTCTCTTTGAGTTCGGCTGGCTTTATTCAGAATACGCAGTTAGATTCATGGCGCTGATAGTGATGTTGCCTAATGGATTGTACACCTACCCGTTATACTCGCTGGGGCAGGTTGTTTCCAATAAAACATTATTTGTGAAATTTAGCCCAACTTTCATTAATGATTCGAACACAATCGAAAACTTTAACCGTTATTATATTTTACTTTTACAACGATTAATTGACTGGATACAGTCAAAAAATTAGCCAGACATAAAAAGCGTGACTCTACATTACTACTATGACATTACTACTATTGACGTTACTACTACTGCCATTACTACTATTAATTTTGTTTACATAGATACGTCATCATAATTTCATTTTGTTTACAAGATGGGACTACTACGATTTTAACATTTATTTCCAACAAGTGTGTGGAGTGTGGATTGTGTGGAGTGTATGACACGCTGCTTTCAGAATTGAAGATCATTCTGGCATGCCGTAATTGGGCAGAGACCTTAGTCGGCAGAATGCAGGTCATAGAGCTTGACTCACTTCGATTACTCAGACAACATAATTAACGGGCCCAATGACTGTTTACAATACGGTGGTGAAATGCAGTCATTGATTACACTTGCCAGCGTATCTCTGGGTGTGTCGGAACCCCAGAGTTACATGACTGGTGTTGGACAACGACGATTCGATAATAATACTAGTAATAAGGCATCTAAGGTCGCATATATCTCCTTAGAATCAAATCAATCAAGAATCAATCAAAAGCTCAAATCCCCTCCTCTGCACCATGAACAAAAAGGTATGGGCTTATTTACAAGGATTTTTTTTATAAATATTTGCAGAATGTGTAATTTATACCCTCTGTAAGTATATGCGTATGTCGTGAAATTTCGAAAAATATTAATATTTAGGCAAAATGGACCGTCAAAACGGGATTGCATCACAGTTTCTCTAGAGCGCGACGGCTTTGGCAACGACCAACACAGATGCAACTACAATAAGAGCACTACCACAAATGTTTACAAAAATGACACCCGCCTCCTGTGTCCTCCTGTGTTTTTTATAAATTTAGTTCAAGACTTTTAGCAACCATCGGAATGTGTTTATATTTACTTCTCGAAAACCAATGGTTTTTCGAAAAAAATGTCAAGAGACAAAAATGTTTTAAATTGATTGTGCTTTCGTGTACATATTTTTAATTTACAAAATAAAAGCCCACAAAAAAGTTCTGATTAAAAGATTGGGAGGGGTTGGCCGATTCAACCCTTACTGAAAGCTGGGGGTAAGTAAAAATTTTACTGAAATATGTCATTCCACCCCTGAAATACACACACCAAATTTCAAACTTCTGAGTAATGCCATTAAAGAAATAAAAAATGGAATATGTATTTTTGGCTCACCCTACACATTCGAATAACTCCCTAGGCAAAACCCAAATGGAAAAATTTTATATGAAGGACCCCCTCTAAAATCACCTGTAGAACACGTCCTTAAAATATTTCCACACAATTACGGGACACCCTGTATACATAATATACTGACATAATATGTGATCATCATCACATGTAAATATTTGTCACAATTGACTGGAAACTGTCGTCCACCACTTGGGTGCAACACGGCAGCTGCATTTACTTATTATATCACTACAATGCTGCACCCAAGTGGTTGACAACAGTTTTGAGTCATTTGAAGGGAACAAATTTTAACATGGTCATATGTCAATATATTGTAATAAATGCTAACACCAACGGCAGGGCTTGTCGTGGGACGCCGGAGACGCTATAAATGCAAAATTCCTATACATTTGAAGAATAAAAATCATTTTTCAACAGGAAATAGTGTACATTATTTATCCAACATTAACTTTTTTTCTTATTTACTAATTCATTTCATACACTCTTGGTCATTTATAGTGGGTTCATGCAGCCCCGAGTATACTGTGAAATCTATACTGTACCATTTTCTAGAGTTTAAATAACATGTATGTTTGTGACATTCTAAAGATGGCACGGTCTATCCCATTACATAAAAAGGGTAGTAAAGACGATATAAAAAATTATCGATGTATTTCACTTCTTACCACATTAAGTAAAATACTAGAGAGTGTTGTTAAGGATAGGGTGACCGATTGGTTGAATATTAATAATATTTTTCCCCTAATCAGTATGGTTTCAGATCTGGCCGTAACACGGCGGATGCAGCCTTCGAGCTAATTAACAATGTATGCAATGTACTAGAATCCAAGCTAAGTCCGTTGTGTATTTTATGCGATCTTTCAAAAGCCTTCGATACCGTCGATCATACTCTTTTGTTGAGTAAGCTAGAATATTTTGCCATACGTGGATTATCATACGACTGGTTCAAATCGTATCTAACGGGCCGCTCGATGTATGTCGAGATTTCTGAGATCAAGGACGGGTGTCGGGAGAAAATTAAATCAGCGGAAGGTCAAATTAGTTGTGGGGTACCGCAGGGTTCCATCCTGGGGCCTGTACTATTCATCATATTTATTAATGACTTGGTAGTAAACTTTCCCCTAGCCTCTTTCACCTTGTTTGCTAATGATACTAGCATGATTATATACTCCTCAAATCTTGATAAGTTGAAATCTACTGCTGAGATGGTTTTGAAAGATGTATCCGACTGCTTTCTTGCCAACAAACTATCCCTAAATATGGATAAGACCCAATTCATTTTGTTCGACCTAGGCTCGAATCAGAAGATTGATCAGTTGTCTATTAGCAACGGAGTCATTCATCCAGTAGAGGAGGCAAAATTTCTGGGCATAACATTGGATAAGAAACTAAATTGGTCGGTTCACATTAATAATTTAAATATCAAACTTTCGCAATCCATTTATGCTATTGCAGTAATTAGAAACAACGTAGGCTATGAGGCTGCAAAAATATCCTATTTTTGTTATTTCCACAGTGAATTGCAATACGGTATTGAGTTTTGGGGAAACTCTACGTTGGTTCATTCTACCTTCGTTATCCAGAAAAGAGCTAAGGATATTATTTAATCTAAAGCCACGGGATTCATGTAGACCTTACTTTCAACGAAATAAAATTTTTACTGTCACTAATGTTTATATTTACAAAGTCGCTTTATTAATTTTTAAGCACAGAAACCTATTAACACGGCATAATGAAATGCATAACTATTTAACGAGAAATGAGAACTTTAAATTACCCTCTTTCTCATACAATAAGACCAGACAATGTCCCTTATATTCAGGAATAAAAATTCTTAATCA